AGAGATACACCTGAGTCAGATTGTATTCAGTCTGGTGGCCACAAAGACAGTGTCAAGATCTTTTGTTTCATCCTAAGAAAAATGGGAGGATTTTAAGACAGAAAGGATAGGGTTGCTAATTACTAGCTCTAGTTCAAGTTCATCTTTATTTTTAAGTTCCCTTGGTTTTGGAAGTTGGTTTTTGTGAAGGGAGTTTTATTTTGTTTGGACCATAGGTACAGAGATTTTAGTAAAATATAACTTAAAGGAAGTTAAATATGCCCCCATGGTTACCTTATACATTTAAAAAATGTATCCAAATGAAGAAATGTTAAAAAGAAATATATGATTTGATGTCTCTAGGGGATTGACTTATGTTTGCCTTTGAAAAACATTTCCCAAAAGAGTTAGTGGTAAATAAGCTTGAAGCAAATATTTCTTAAAATCTTTAGTAGCTATGTGAATACAATATCTGTAGAAACTGAACTATATGCAGACATTATGTTAAGTCAATGATATATGGCATAAGGACCTTGCCTTTAAGAACTTCAAACTCACTGTGTTGTCAAAGCATAGTGGTCACTTCAGGTGTTTAAAAGCAGGGTTGGGTCCTAACCGGTGGATAGAGCGTCAGCCTGTGGACTCAAGGGTCCCAGGTTTGATTCCGGTCAAGGGCATGTGCCTTGGTTGCGTGTACATGTGGTCCAAACAAAATAAAAATCCCTCAGTATTTAAGGCACTACATTAAGTGTTAAGGATTAAAATTTTCACGTTTTCTAACCTTAGAATTTCAAACATAAAGACATAGACATTAATCACAACAACCACAAATCAAACCACTTTATAGTACTCCCTGATGCTAAATCATATTTGAGAAATTTTGTGAATTGCACTGTTACAGAATACATCAGATTAGCTGATTTCAAAGACATTGAGGAAAAACAATTTTGGAAACCATGTCCAAGAGAAAACTCTTTGTGTGCTTGAAAACAAATTACCTAATGTTTGTGTGTAATGATAATAATAGGGTTAGTATTTCCTGACAAAATGCGATTGCCTTTATTATGAAGAAAATTACATGGGTCTGAGCAATTTCTTGGTAATTATGTATTTAAGAAAAATGACTAAATCCAGGTATCCCCTGATAGTAAGCATTTATTATTTTGTCCATTATAGTCTCATTGAAATTCCTTATGTTTGCAGGTTTAGAACATCTTTCATACATATCTGCAATTACCTTCTGTAGTAATTAACTACATTCTCACCATCATTAAGTCAAAACATACTGTGTTTGACACTAACTATAAGAATGGAAATTAGAAGTAAAAATGTACT